GCACTTGAGAGATGGGCACAGAGACGTCCGATTTCAGGAGAGGTTCCCCATGTGATTTCACAGGTGTACCCTTCCTTTTTTTTTTCTTTTTCTTTAATTTTAAGCTGTTTTACTCAAACATGCTGGCTTGAAAAAACGAACTTAACATTTAAACATCTGTTGAAGCTTTTGCTGCTGTTACTGTTCAGACAGGATGTCACTCTGTAGCCCTGGCTGGACTGGAATGCACTGTAGGGCTCAGGCTGGTCTGGAACTCAAGGCAGTCCTCCTGCCTCAGCCTCCCAGCTGCTGGGATTTAAGATGCGAGCCATCGTGCTCAGCTCAGTAAATTTTAATCCAGCTCCATTCATTCTCTGCCCTTTCCCCATAAATAATAATATAACTACCAGTTCTGAAGAAAGGGAACACAGAAGCCATAAAGTAAAGTCGCCGTATACTGCCGTCCTTTGTTTTCAAGGACCCAAATGTCAGTCCAGTGCAAAAGTCAGTTTGGCAGGTTCATTAGCTTGAAAGGAGAGAAGAAACCAGTGGCATGCAGTACCTTGAGAGAAACACGCCAGCTCTCTCTCCTGCCCAGGTCACTTCATCTGTCCCACCAGTCCCAAGTCCAGTCTAGTGCAGTGCGCGGCGCGTCCCCAGCCGGCACCGCGTGTAAAGCCATCTGCAAATGGCCTTCGGGGAGTGTGGTCAACAAAGCAGAAGGCTCGCATCGCTGGCACGCATCGATTTAGTTAAACAAGTCTTTCAAATCCTTTTTTTTTAGTTAGAACATTGCTGCTGATGTAAAATGCAGGCTGTACGTTGGAGTGTGAGCCCTGGCCTGGCCTGCTCCGTTCAGGGAGTACTTTTCCCCGCTAAGCTCTCTTGAAGGTTCCATTCCTAAATGGCCTTTTTTCCACTCTGAGCAGGAGCTGCCGTTTCTTCTGGTGAGTGTCGAACGTTCCCTGATAGGAGCTCAGATATCTGCCCTTGAGGGTGGAATCGAGGCCGATTGGTTCTCTCTCCTGCCGTGGTCTACTTTCCTGGGTGGTCCTGGGCAGGCTGCCACTGCCCGTGAGAGAACTCTGCTAAGGCCCTGTGAGGCCAACACAGTCGCCGACACCCACACTTCCTTCTGTCAAAAAAGAATATAGGCTGAGCCCCTCCTGCTCAGTCTGCAGCTGCACACTTGCTTGGTGAGAACAGCCCTTGCCATGACCTTTGAGGTTTGCCCTTGACCTGGGGAGGAGGGCCCTGCCTGCTGGGGAACTGCTGACTTAGCGTCCTTCCCCCCCTGCGTTGCTTTTCCTTTTCTGAGGAAAAGTGCTGTTTGTGTTTCACGGCTGGCAGCGCGTTACAGAGTGTGGGCCAGCTGTGGGGTGCGTCCCGGTCTGACTTCACCATGGGTGTTACCATTTCTTTCTCCCTGGAGACAACCCAGAAGCACACTTGGAAGGCGAGTGGGTGGGAGCAGGCGGCCCCCAGCACGTTTCTTAGAGACATCCTGAGTGGTATGAGGTAAGCAGGTGTGCATGAAGGCCACTTACTGACCTTGGTCAGAGTGCATGAAACAAGTCAATGACAACATTCCTGCATGAGACCCAGGCCTATGGGAGGTTCTGTCTGCCTTTGGGAGCATGCGTGCTCTAGTCAAGTCTGTGCTGTGCCCTTTAACTGCTCAGTTTTGACCACGTTTCTTATTGTACTATTTAAAATCTGTTTCCAAGCTGGGCAGTAGCAAATACTTCTAATCTCAGTACTTGGGAAGCAGAGGTAGGAGGATCTCTAGAGTTCAAGCCCAGCCTGGTCTATGTAGTGAGTTCCAGGAGAGCCAGGGCTGGCTGCACAGTGAGTGAGACCTTGTTTCAAAAAAAAAAAAAAAAAAAAAGCCGGGCTGGTGGCACACGCCTTTAATCCCAGCACTCAGGAGGCAGAGGCAGGCGGATCTCTGTAAATTCAAGGCCAGCCTGGTCTACAAGAGCTAGTTCTAGACCAGGCCAAAGTCACAGAGAAACCCTGTCTCGAAAACAAAAAAATAAACAAAACAAAACAAAACAAAAAAACCAGGAAGAAAAGAGAGAAAGAAAAAAAGGAAATGACTTGAGTCCACGCCATGGCATCCTTTGGTAAGTTTTACGTCATGGAGTGATTGTCTTCAGCGCTGATCCAGGGAAGGGAGTGAGGTGTCACACATCTGAACTGAGAGTCTGGAGACTGACAGAGCCACAGAACTGAGTCCAGGTAGAGCAGGGGTTGACAGGGTGACACCAAGGCCACATAAGCCTAGCCATGGGCCTGAATCCCGGCGTTGGCAGCTCAAACACAGATGCTGAGACTTAGGCTGGCCCTTAAAACGTAAACAAGCAGCTACACCGACACGGGCGGGCACCAAGAACCCGAGGGACTGGTTGCCATGTGAGGAGTGGAACAGTTGGCGTAGGAACAGGCTCTCCCTGAATACCAGGCACTGCTGGCTTCCCTGAGCCCTGTTGTCAGCCTCACTGCCAGCGGCTGACCAGGCTGGCTGGGACAGAGTCCTGTCCTGCTCACCAGGTATTTATGGTGTCCGCTGTTTCCGGCTGTGTGGGTGCCGTTGGGCAGGGGTGGAATGAGACACATCACTCGCGGCTTGCAGCCCGCTGGGGTCGTTCCTGATGCCACAGAAAGGGCTGTGTGAGCAGCGCTGTTAAGGCAGGGCTAGCACCGTCTCAGTGGATTCTTGGTTGACTTTTGTGTGTTAGGACAACAAGAGTAGCTTTCTGGCTCTCTTCTCCATTTAAGGCTGAAACATGTCGGAAAAGGGTGGGACCTCAGGTTGGCCCCGCCCTAAGGCTTCCACCATTTGGGTGTTAATGCCACGCCACAGCCACATTAGGTCTTAAAGCGTGTGCTTGTTAGCACAGAATTCCTCCCGACTGCAGCCTGGCTGCCCAGTGCCCAGGGGCTCTCCCTGCCTGTCAGTAGAGAGCCACCCACAGTTCTGCGGTTATCCATGGGCTTCACTCTCTATAAAACAAAACAAAAAAATTAGACAGGAATATTCCCTGCATACTTCCTGTGGGGCCCCGCAAGGTCAGGGCTTGGTGGCTTCCTGCAGCGCGAGCCCTGCCCTCCACGAGTGGCTGGATGCCCTTCCCAGCTGGCTGCCCCAGCCTCCCTGCCCTTCTACCTGCTCTGCATTCGGAGCGGGAGGGCTGGTTTGGAACCCCAGCTGAGGTTATCACGGTGTATTCGGCTCTGGTGTGCAGCCTGCTTTCCTTCAGCGGTGCTGGGATTAACTGTCATAATACACCAGGGGAGAGCCAGTTAGGACCATGATCTCGTGCTGGGGTACTTCTGCATTTGGGGTTGCCATTGGGTGCATTACCTTGGCAACACCTTTAATTGGGGTTTGTTGAACCACGTTGGACTCCAACCGCCCAGGAAGGTCCTTGGACCGCCCGCCGTCGTGGCCGGCTGGTCACAGAGGCAGCTTGTTTCTGCTGTACCAGAACCAGAAGACCTTGTATATGAGCAACTGAGGCCCACACACCCGACCTCTGACAAAGTCCGAGTCTCTGTTGCTTAGCAACATCTTGGCCCAGGCAGGGCACTTGTTGAGCATCTGAGTCAGCCCGGGCCCCCTGGCATCTGTCTGAGTAGCAGAGTTAATTTTACCTTTTTTTTGGTGTGAGCTATCATTGTGCAAACGCATCGTGAGTCGGTACCTGGTGTACAGGATGAGATAGCGCCGCCTGTTTCTCTGCCGCCTGCAGACTGGTCACCTTGTGATGTCCCCGGTGCCAACCTACCCTGCAGTTCTGCCCTGACCGTGCCGCTCTAGCTATGTGTCTCAGAAGTGCGCTTGTGGGCCGGCTCCACGGAAGAGCCACGGGAGATGCTTTTGCTACTTCTCGGCCTTCATCATTAGAAGCCTGGGCTGCGGCAGTGGTCTGGCTCTGACCGGCCTTCGGGGGCTCTCATGCCCCCGACCCCAAGCATGGGGTTCTTTAACACTGGTGGCCAAGTGAAATCTAACTGGCAAATGAAAGCAGGCCGTAGGCGTGGCTGTCACATTCACATCGGAAACTCGTGTCCCCTGCTCTACCCAGTCTTTCAGGTGTCCCTTGCCGGTGGTGGTTTCTCCACACATCCTCACTTAAGCTCACTGTTTGTGGCCCTCACCCCCTGTGAGCACCTACCCTAGTTTGGGCTCTCCAAAAGCAGGAATTAATGCAAGCTGCCTATTTGGACGTGACTCCAGGGAGCGCTGATAGGCGCTGAGAAGCGGGATCAGTGACATCCTGGGCAGCAGGGCCCGGGCCTCCTTAGACTCTGGGGTGGAGCTAGGGTTAAAGAGTTGCCTTGTGAGCTGCTCCCCTCATGGGAGGTTGGACATCACTAATACTTAAGATGGCCTCTCCCAGGGCTTAAAGGGGCTGCAAATGCTGAGTGTGGTGGGGGCCGGGGGGCGGGGTGCTCTGGGCGATCTCCCAGCGACCTGCTTCCTCCACTCTGCTGCCCTGCGCGCTGCCCCGTGGGTGGCAGAGGAGCCGTGCTGCCGCCTGCTGCAAGCTGGGGCTGCCTGGTGGCAGGAGGTGGGGCCAGGGTACTGGGAGAACAGACTTGCCCTCAGGGTCAGCCAAGAACAGGGTTCAGTGAGCAGAAAAACAAAACTAAGTAACGAAAACAGCTGACATGAAGTCCCCTTTCTCAGGAGAGGAGAGGCTCTGGGTGACAGAGCAGAACAGGTACCAGCATTCTCACCAGCAAAACCCAGGCCCAAACTCCTGTCCACTGTGGCTGTCATTTCACACACTTGGGAAGGGAGGGGGCCTGTGCCAGCGCCCTTGGGGTGGGTGCCTGGCACCTTGTGTGCCTGCCAGGCTGCCAGGCTGGAGGCTGCTCCCCCAGTGCAGCAGGGCCACAGTAAGAAAGGACCAAGGACAGACGGCCAGCTCTTTGTTCTGCTCTGTCTGTCCTTCCCAGTGTTTGAGCTCAGGTGACCTTTCTTCTATAAAAAGAAAGGCATGGTTTTAACATTCTTTTTCTTCACCCAAATGTTTTATTTTGGAATAGTCGTATTCACAAGAAGTTACAGAAATGGTTCCTTTGTTTGGTGCCATCCCTCAGTTTCTGCCTTGGGGAAGTGTTCCGTAACTGATACAGAACCCTCCAGCCCGCCCCAGCAGCATCCTACAGTGGGCACCGGGGTCACCGCAGACATCTCCCTCACCTGGCCCCAGGCCCGCGCTTTGTTCCTCTGTGCCATGACAAGTGGATAGCGTCACCACTGCAGGCCTCCAGTTAAGTGGGGCCGCGGCTTGTCCCTGGCCTCCTGTCCCCGGGTGAGCTGAGGCACGCTGTGCCCAGGCTGGAAGCTGCCTGTCAGAGTGGCCACTGTGTGCTTCTGCTTCGGGGTGTGCAGAAAGGGTGCGATGTCACTGGTCTTCATCTTGGTGCTTCTGTGGATTTCAGGCACGACACGAGTCAGTATGGGCTGCCGGAGTGAGTTCTGTGGACCAGGTGGCTTAGAGGCACTGAGGGAACCCCTGTCACACGAGCATCCCCTGACGAGGGTTCTCCTCCCGGCTCATAGACACCAGAGGCCTCGGTGCCCCCACACTCTCTTCACCTCCTATTCAGGGCGTCTTCACCAAGGCCTGCTCCGTATCTGCCGCTGCCTACCACAGAGTCAGGAAGCAAGAAGCGAGGCTTAGCCAGTGTGGTACCCGGTTCAGTTATTTCTACATTATTGAGCATCTCTGGGTCTCCATGCTGCACCGATTGACCTAGAGACTCACAGAGGTCCCTGCTCCCCCAGCCCACAGGTCTCCCTCCTGTGTCCTCTCCCTCCTGTCCTGCCTGCCCACTGGTGTGGAGGAGAGAAGGGAGCCCGCACCAGCTGGCCTCACCCCCACTTCTGGGAGCAGATGGGCTGGGGTGGGGGTGTCTAGAATTTTCATGATCCACAGTGTTGTTGTTGGTTGGCTGGTTGCTTTTTCAAGACAGGGTTTCTCAGTGTAGCCCTGGCTGTCCTGGAACTCGCTATGTAGACCAGGCTGGCCTCGAACTCAGAGAGCTGGGATTATGGGTGCACACCACCCTCACCCGGCATGTGTCACAGTTTTGACCAGAGTCAACTTGTGTATCTTCAACCTTGAGGGAGCGTGTTTGAGATTCTGCTGCGTGTGCACAGCCTGAGCCCTGTGGTCTAGAAATGTGAGTCTCTAGACCATTCCTTCAACCCGCACTCCCCCACCCTGCAGCAGCAGGAAAAAGGGGTGTCTCAGAAGACAAGCTATACCCCATTAACAAAGAGCTGGGAAGCCCTGGCTCGGAGCAGGGTCCCTCTGCCAGGCCCCTCAGGAGCCCCAGCAAGCCTTACCTTTGCGTCTAACCTGAGAGGCCGCCTGCCCAGTCTCGCCATCTTTCCTGTTGCCCTAGAACCCAGAAAGGAGCAAAACGGCCTAGACGTGGTTTTGCTGTAAGTGAAATGAGCACACAGTCCCATTCAAGTCTTCATTGATTACTGGAACAAAAGTGGGAAACACAGAGATTGGCAGAAGTCCAGTAAGTAATCAGAAGTAGGAATCATGAAATTCAGAGAAATGCTGAAAGAGGCAGCTATCCTGGGCCTGACTCTTCCCGGCTCTGCTGCAGACCCTCTCCTCTCCTGAAGAGCCCGGACTCACAAAACCCTGGAGACCCGGCGCTGGCACTCACCCTCACTACAGACCCAGTGGGCTTGGGGGCGGTGCTGCTGTGGGGTCTTCATGCAGACTAAGGCTGGGAAACACTGTCAGCTTGTGGGTAGGGCAGCCTAGGGGTCTCCCAGCACAAAGACGTCAGAGTGGTTATGTGGCATTTCCCCTGCCTCCCCGTCTTGTGTGCCGCCTATCTTAGCGTGCTTTCTGAGGGGACGATTGTTTGGTAGTTCCACCTTGACGGTGAATCACACATGTAGGTCTCAGACCCTTTCCTAGGGGTGGGTTCCTGCGCTTCTTGTCAATGGGGAGCTCACACACACACTCACACACACACACACTCAGACACACACTCACACACACCACACACACACACTCACACACACACTCACACACACACTCACACACCACACACACACTCACACACACACTCACACACACACAACACACACCACACACACACACTCACACACACACACAACACACACCACACACACACCACACACACACACTCACACACCCGTTGCATGTGGCTCCCCACACACCATGGCCAGTGGAGCTGGCTTTCTGTACGCCCTGTCCAGGCTGCGGTTCTTCTGACCTTGATCCTGCTGTGGCTTCCTGTACCCTCTCCAGCCAGATGAGCCTCTGGCCCTGAGTAGTTCCTGGGACACTGGAGACAGGAGTTTTACCCCTGCAGTCATAGGCACCCTGTGTTCTGGAGGAGCGGTGGCAGAGGTGGTAGCCTAAAGGAATGCCAGAGGCCAGTGACACTTCGGTCAGAGCAGTGGTGGCGAGAGCTGGGACGGAGCAGCATTGACAAGGGCGTGGGGGTGGCTGATGGTGGTGGGCATCGTTGTTGCCGTGGAGACCATGAGAGGTCTGCTGTGCTGGTGTGCTGTTGAGAATCTAGGAAACCTTTTTTCTTTTCCTTTCGCCCTGTCCCCAAGAAGAAAGGCCCCAGTTGTGACAGTGGAGTGTTTCTTTATCCAAGTTGTTCTATTTACCAGTGAAGATGCAGAAGTCAGGTATCGGGGTGAAAACCTGCTGCATCAGAGAAGCTGAGAAACAACTAGCTGACCTCCTTTTTGGCCAGAGACCCAGCAAGAGATCATCTCTCCTTCTCTCCCAAGCCAAAAAGGCCCTCAAATCTCTAAGTCCCTCCCTACTCCTTCCTGTGTGTCTCTGTCTGACTTCCCAGGTCCCCCATACTCTCTATGGCTAATTCTTGTCAACTAGTCGCTCTGTCCCTATCCCCCAATCCAAGGTTAATTTTATCAACACAGTCTTGGAGTTTCACAATACGATCACATATCCCACAGTATTTCCCCCTTTTTGAAAATCTAAATAAAAAAGGAAGGATTTTTAACTCTAACACAGTAAAACTATATACAATAAAAACAATTATCAGGTAAGAATTACATTCACAATGTCCAGTTCATTAGTATTTGGCAAATTCGGAGAAATTACTCCATTATCTATCCTGTCTTGGTGAGTCCAAAGTTTTATACCTAAGCCACTTTCTATCATAACTTGTATTACCAGCCTACAAATATCTTTTTAGCCCTTAAAACATTTTCTTAGATAAACAACTTAAGTTTTTATGTCTCTTAACTATATAAACTTTACATCTGCTTGTCCTGTAGGATTGTGTGGTATACCTGTAATATGCAAAAAAGCTGTTTCATTTTACTAGACACATTTGCTGGAGCATTGTACAGGTACCCCCATAGTAGCCATAACTTCTAATAAATGTATAAATACAGAATCAGCCTTTTCAGAACTTAAAGCATTGAAATCCTGAAAATGTATCTATGGTATGATGCACATACTTTAATTTTCCAAACTCTGAAAAAAATTAAACATCCATTTTTCCAAATTTCAATTCTTTGGGGTACCTTTTGGGTTACTTCCTGCAGGTAGCATGGTTTGGTTCTACAAAGAACGAACAGGATATTCCTTAAATTCTCTTGGCTTGTTGCCAAGTGGTAGAAAAATCTTTCTGCAAACCTTTGTTATTGACATGGTGTTTCTTATGAAATTCTGAGACTCTAGCACAGTTCCTATTTATTGATGATGAATTTCATCATTTCCTTGTGCTAGAGGGCCTGGTAGACTCATGGGATTGGATACATATTATGTACAATGGATGATTTCTATTTCTGATAACTTGTTGCAATTGGGTAAATAGTGAAGTTAATCTGAATCATCTGGAATAAATTCCACAGTTTCAATAATGTAAAACAACGTTCTATATATTGAGAGCCAGTAACTATATCAGTAATACCATGAGAATAGCATGTAATTCTGACTTTTGAACTGAACCGTAAGGGCTTTGAGCCACTTATTTTCCCTGACTTACAGCCTGCCTTTCCTGATTTATTTGCATCAGTATAGACTGTAGGGGCTCTAGAAATTGGTGTGCCTCTTGCTATGTGAGGGAGAATCCAACTAGTTCTTTTTATAAACTGGAGTCCCTTGCTTTTGGGACACTTGTTGTTAATCTCTCCCAAGACATTACTTTAAGCTCTTTGCCCATGCTCATTTTCTGCCCATATTGAGGTAAGTTCAGCATTAGAAACAGGCACCACAATTTCTGCTCAGTGTATTCCTGCTAATTGTCTGCTAAAAGTCTCAATTTTCCTTTCAGAATTTTGAGAAATCTTTTTTACATAAGGTTTTAATTTTTTTACTCTGTTTATATGCTAAAAATATCCATTCTAAGATACTACCTTCCCTCTGCATAAGAATCCCTGTAGCAGAACAAGTAGAAGGTAGAATGACCAAAATATAACCAAGCTCTGGATCCAAGTGGTTCACCTGTGAATCCTGTAGTTTCTACCAGAGCCAATTCTTCCTCAGCTTCAGCTAATAATTTTCATGGACTGTTTACATCCTTATCATCTTTTAAGGTGTGAAATAAATAACGTAGCTCTTACGTAGTTAATCTAATTGTGGGCCTTAGCCAGTCAGTGTCTCCCAGCAACTTTTGAAAATCATTAAAGGAGTTCATAATTGATCTCTCCTGATCTGTACTTTCTGCAGTTGGATTTGCTGCAAACCTATCATATACTAGGTAATGAATAGAATCTCCTCTTTGTATTTTTTCAAGAGCAATTTGTAATCCCCAGCATGGCAAAATTGTCTTTAGTTCATCAGACATTTTTTCTAAGGTATCTGTATCTGAATCATCTAGTAAGGTATCATCATATAATGGTAAATTATAGATTGAGGAAACTGTTTACAAAACATTTCTAGTGGCTGTTGTACAAAATATTGGTACAAAGTGGAGCTGTTTAGCAGTCCTTATGGAAGAACTGTCCACTGATACCTTGTAACAGGCTAGGAGTTATAAGCAGGCACTGTGAAGGCAAATTTGTCTCTGTTCTGTTCTTGTAAAGGGAGAGTGAAAAGGCAGCCTTTTAATTCAGTCGCTGTAATAGACCATTCCTTATGTAACAGAGAAGGCAAGGGAATCCAGACTATAAAGAGTCTATTGGCTGGGTCACCTTATTAATAGCTCTCAGATCTGTTACCATTCTCCATTTTCCAGATTTCTTCTTAATAACAAATATAGGAGAAATCCAAGGACTGGTCAGTTATTCTACATGTTGACCATTTAGCTGCTCCTGTACCAGCTGTTCCAAGGCCTGTAGTTCTACTGATGTCAAAGACCATTGTTCCACCACACAGGTTTGTCAGCTAACCATTTTAAAAGTAGGGCAGTTGGAACCTTTGAAAGATCGCCAGCAGTTGTATCCTGCTTATGAACAACCTAAACAGTCTGACTGTTCCTGATAATTCATTTTAATATTCTTCTCAGAAGCATTCTTTTTATTTATTTATTTATTTACTTTATATTTAAATTAGAAACAAGGTTGCTTTACATGTCAATTCCAGGTCCCTCTCCCTTTCCCTTTCCCTCCCCTCCTCCTGTGCCCTCCCACCAACCCCTCCAGTATCCCCTCATTTCCCCAGGGAGGGTGAGGCCCTCCATGGAGGTGTCCATAGTCTGTCATTTCATCCAGGGCAGGGCCTATCCCCAAGAGTCCAGGGTGAGAGTGCATCTCTCATTGTTGGATGGGAGTCCAAAGCTCAGAAGCATTCTTTATTTTATGGTTTGTTTCTGAGGTTGGAGTAATGTTAGTCTGTGTTTTCCATTGCCGTAGCAGTTCATGTTCCTATAAATTCATTGCTGTTAGCCACATATGGCTATAATTTTCTTATCTGTCCTTCTGGTCCACCTTTAATTTTTTTTTTAACCTGAGATAAAGTTCTAATCCCTAAAAACTGAACATTTACCTCCTGAAGAGGTTAGTCTGAATGCCAAATTTTGGTGTAAGTTTGGTTACATCTTTATCTATGTTAAGTAATCCTTCAATTACAATGTCATTTATTCATGTTTTTAGCTTTGGTTTGATCATTTATAGAAGTTTGCCAAAATACTTGCTTTATGGTCTCTCCTGAATTTTTTGTTGTTTCTACTAAAGCTGTTTTGTCCTTGATCACATCCAGAGCAGTGTGTTTTTTTTAACAGCAGACATTAATTCTTTTAATTGCTCTGTAGATAAGTTTCTCCAATGCTGATAGGGAATAATCAAACCAAATTTGACCTCCGTGCCTAAGAGCCAGTTTAGCCTCATTGAAGGCTCGTTTCCATCTGTATCAAGTCAGTCGCCCGGGGCCTGACAGGTGCAGCGATGGAGCTCAGAGGGAAAGCTCCAGAGGACTGTGCGTGTGCTGGGGCCAGGTCTGTGTGTGCAAGGCTCCAGAGGACTGTGCGTGTGCTGGGGCCAGGTCTGTGTGTGCAAGGCTCCAGAGGACTGTGCGTGTGCTGGGGCCAGGTCTGTGTGTGCAAGTGCCTTGATCTGCCTGCGTGCAGCCAGGCCACCTCTGCTGCAAGAGCTCCATGCAGTAGCTTCGGGCATAGGGACAGGCGAGTGTGTACCGAGTGCCAGGCGAGTGTGTACCGAGTGCCAGGCACTCCATTTCACCTTGCTGCCTGCATGAAGGGGTTTTGGCTCCCGTGCTTGGATTAAGCTTAGGTGGGTTATAGCTAGCCGGAAGGACCAGCCAAGCAGAAGCCTTGCTCTGGCCGTGAAAATCTATTGTGCTACATCAGGGAAGAGCAGAGAGCGGACTGATCCTAAGAGGCATTGCAGAAGGAGGAGTGCAGGGGAACACAGGCCTGCAGGCTCTAGCCAGACACCTGCATCAGCAGGGGTGGGGACAGGACACGAGGTATGTATTGGCAGGAGCACGTCACGTCTTCCATAAAGTCAGACTTCCTGAGCTCTGCTGTTCCCAGAAGTCTCATGTGTGGAGACTTTTCTTCAGGTCATCTCTGGGGAACTCAAGGACGCCATTTCTGTGGGTTCTTGCACTCTTGATGGGGCAGAGGCCAGGCTGGGCATGGGGTTAGCTCCTGCCTCATAGCTGAACCTTTTTCTCTTAGAGACTTAGGATTGCTTTGGCTTCCTGTCCTGTGGTCTGCCCCGGTAGGGAGGACTCCACATGCCGAAAAAGGCTTCGGCCTGAAAGCCTGCTTCCGTGCTCCCTGCTCAGGCCCTGGGCTGACTGAGGGCAGTTGTGACTCGCCACCTGCCGTGTGTGAGGATGACAGCAGCCTTTGGGCAGAGCCCAGGCTCTCCTGATGCCTATGTGCTCTGATGGGGAGCTCAGAAAGGCCAGGCCATGGCTGTTTATACCGAACCAAGGCGGTCATGAGGGCACTGTTCAAACAGATCTACAGAGAAGGTGAGGTGAGGTGAGCACTGGTGTTGGCTCCCGTCCGTGGAGAGACTTGTAAGAAAGCTGCTCTGGGAGGTGGGACATGCTTGGTAACGGAAGTGGCTGCAAAGGTAGTGCTGCTGTGTTTCCAGGCCCCC